CTGAAAAGGAGAAAGTGGGAATCTCAAAACAAATCATCAACAACTTACCTATCGATTACGATACCCCTCGACTTCAAGGTTGGAATTATATTTCCTCGTGTTTATTTGCAAACTCGAAATCAACTTCTGCAAAAGGGTAAACGCCCAATACACGCGAATATCAAACATATTTGCGGTTATCTGTCGCGACTCGCGAGTCTGTGGCTACCTAGCATCATCACCCAAGCCGGGCGCAAGGAGACAGGCCAAGCAATCAGATCAAGTTTGGTGTACAAGTTCGTAGCCTCTCTTAGAGAGACAGTTTATTGAAAACATCGTAATACTAATACGGTCGAACAGAATCTTGCTCCCCATCTAAGATGGGAATTCTTTCGAACCCGTTGCGCTCCCGCGAGGGTCGGCAATCTCAGTTGCCTGTTTACGAAAATGTACATCTTACAAGTAAGGAACGAAATTCAAACGATTCTTACGACGATTCCGATTACGACGACTATTCTACCACCTCATCTCCTGGTACAAACAACTCAAGATTCACAAGTGCTTCAACTTCTACAGCAACCCCTATCATGCCTAAAAGAGCCTTCCCAGTTCCTCGTAAACCGCGCCAACCACTTAACTACCGTTTGCCAAACAAGGTCGTTCGGTATCTCTGCTTTGGCTTAACATTCTTCATTGTCTCGATGATATTCTCGCTCATCCGAGCAAGTCACAATGAGAACAGAGCCCTTGCTGAAGGCAAGATTGATAGGCCGCCATCTCCGCCTCCTTCGTGGGAGCAATTCCCATTTCTTACAAGATATTACGGTGGTATCAGGAACTTGGTACCTTTTTCCCAGAATACGCCCGAGTATCCCCGATCCAAAGGGGAGCAGCCCATAGACAAGTTGTTCTATGTCAATAGCACCAACTTAAACTCTGACGTCGAAGAGCGGAACTTGCCTGCCAGTAAAGAGTATATCCGGTATCCCCAGAGTGTTTTCCAGGATGCCCCTGAGCAATTTCAGGAATGCTACATTGACAAGGCAAACAAAGTACGCGTGCCTCCTATTCGCTACTATGAGGGACGTCCCCATGGTTTCCCTGACCCCGTGCTCGGTTCCTATGAGCTCCTGGGGCTTCCCGAGGATATCTGCTTCGAACGCTATGGCCGCTATGGGCCATATGGCTTCGGTTATTCCGTTAGGTCCGGTGGTCTCGGTACTGGGGAACACGGTGAAAAGGAAGGCTTTGAGTCTACTTGGGACAAGGTGCCCCAAGTCGACTGGAGAGGGACGGACTGGGCGGATGTTCAGAGGCGATGCTATCAGACAAATGCTGATCGTTACAAGAAAGTGCCCGCTAGACAGCCCTCTCCACATGGTTTCTACATCAATGAGGATATTGCTGCCACAAAGCTCCAGGCGCGTGACTCTCCAGTTCCCGAATCACCCAAGTCATCAGCCGACAAGACAGACAAAACTGTTAAGGAGAAGAAGCCGGTCCCGGCCGCCGAAGGTGTGACTGCAGGGAAGCAGCTGCCAAGGACCGCAGTTGTGATCCGATGCTGGGATGAATACTTCTGGAGAGAAGAGGACGTAATGAACATTCGCTCCCTAATCAGCGAATTGGTGCTAGCATCCGGTGGTCGATATGACATTCACCTGCTCGTTCAAGTTAAGAATGATGCTGCACACCCAATTTGGGCAGACGCAGCCGTATACCAACGACGAATTGAAGAGACTGTACCGGAGGAATTCCGAGGTATTGTCACATTCTGGACAGAAACCCAAATGCTATCGCTTTACCAGGGAATTTTCGATCTTTTCGCTCGTGGACCAGATTTGCCCGTCCACGGCGTCTACCGTGGCTTGCAAATGGCTATGCAACATTTTGCCTACTTACACCCAGAATATGACTATTACTGGCAGTGGGAGATGGACATTCGATACACTGGCCATTACTATGACTTGTTCACCAAGATAGAGGATTGGGCCAAGAAACAGCCACGTAAGGGGCTCTGGGAACGGAATTCTCGATTTTACCTGCCTTCCGTCCATGGAACGTGGGAGGATTTCAAGCAGATGGCGCGAGTGCAGACCGAGATGGGCACTAAAGGTGCCGATAATATATGGGATAATGTTCCTGGAGCCAACAAGAAATCGCAGTCTAATCGGGGCGAAAAGCCTATTTGGGGTCCTGAAAGACCCAAAGATCCTAAAGATTGGTTTGAACCAGACGATGATCCCGTACCCGAGACAACCTACGAAAAGGACAAATACGTATGGGGAGTTGGCGAGGAGGCTGATTATATTACGTTCAACCCCATGTTCGATCCAGAGGGAACTACTTGGGGTCTAGCTGACGACATTACTGGCTATAACACAACGGGTAACAATGGAATGCCGCCTCGCAGGGCTCAGATCATCACAGCATCGCGTATGTCTCGCCGTCTACTCATGAAAATGCACCGAGAGACTGCCTTCTTGAAACATCACGCTTTCCCAGAGATGTGGCCGGGTACTGTTGCTCTGCAACATGGTTACAAGGCCGTATTTGTACCACACCCTCTTTACGTGGACCGCGAGTGGCCTACGGAGATCTTTGAGAGGACCCTCAACAACGGCAAAAATGGAGCTACAGGAGGCGCCCGTACTTCCGTGTTCGGCCAGCGTGAGCATAACCTTATAGGTCTTACCTGGTTCTACAACTCAGGTTTCGCACCCAACTTGTACCGAAGATGGCTCGGATTGAAGGTCAACAACGATGGAGGCGAGGAGTTCGAGTTGACCGCAGACGAGAGCAAGAATGGCACGAATGTCAATGAAATGCGGGGTGGAGAGGGTAGAATGTGCCTACCACCCATGCTACTTCACCCGGTTAAGGACGTTGAGTTACCAGTTGAAGCCAGCCCGGAAGACACGCTCGAGATCCCCGAATCAGATCCCGCGGCTTGAACACAGTAGATATATGGAATGAGGGATAAGATCATTTAACGAATGCATAGGCCAGGATTTTGTAACGGGCCACTTCTATATATGGGCTCTAGCATTCGTGGAGGCGTTGGTCGGAAAGTGTGTTATCGGATGGTTTTTTTTCCATGTTCTTGGCAGTTTGAATGAATCAACGATGCGAAGCAAGCATTGCGCGTCGATATCAGGTGTACATATAGTTGGTTTGTACACAGGCAGAAGGGTATGGCTGGATAGAACAAACGGGTAGGGACCTATTTGGAGAGTGGGCTGTAATTATGACACTTATTCCGGCTTCTCGATATGTGTGGTGTGTAGTGTCTGGTCAAGATTTTGGTGAACTATGCGTGTCAAAAGTATAAGACTGCTGGTCAGGTTGCTACTCGAGTTGTCTGTTATCGCGAAACGTATCGCCGTATTGCACATTAACAGCATCATACTCTAGTCATATGCGTCTTGTTCATATGAAAGACAGCAAGACTTCTATATCTAGTACTGACCCCTATTTCCAGAGACACGTCAGAAGCTATGCTTAATTAAAGGGAAAGCAACACAGTTAGGGAATGAAGACGCTTTCATCACCACGTGTTCGGTCTCTCCCGGGTGTCCCAAACGGCGTTAAGGTACATCTCATCACTACTATGTAAGCTCTCATATATAGAAAGACAGAACTGCACCTCTATAACTACTGTGTATACGTAGGCCATGGAGAGAGTGGTGGCAAAGTAACTAATTATCCAAAAATATTTAGCATTCCTTCCACGAAAGACAAATACCCTCTTCGATAATCCCCTCGACTATATAACTGAGTAAAGACTCTAGAAGTTGTTAGTATCCAAATTTTATATCATTAGTCATCTAAGCTTCCCATCATTTCGCACAAGCGACAACAGACGCCATGTAAAAAGGACCATGAACAGCGTCAAATAACTAAATAAATAAAAACCACCACTAAACCCCCTTTGCTAAAGCCGCAACTCCACGTTTTAAGCTTGTCGCCCAAACCAGGTTGCTTCTCCCACAACATAGTTGTTTTGTACATGTATGGCGATATTGGCTTGTCTTCACATTCTCACGACAAAACGACAAAACAGGACTCGATAACTAACTAATAGATATCCAACATAGTGTTATAGTATTACTCGCACCTGGCGGGTCTCAACCTCGGCCATGAGACAGGAACACATAGGGCCCCTAAAACCCATATCCCCCCCCGCCCCCGGACCCTGTAGTAGGATGAGGATACGAGCGGATCGACAACGCGGAACAGGATCCGCAACACAAATGTGACACCGTAATGGTAGCCCGTCACAAAAGGAATACTGTTACCGAAATACCTGGGTTAGTAAGGTAAAGATCAACCAACCAACTAGGTAGCTATTACTAGTTGTAAGTAACTACGAAACATACACTCATCTACAATTCTTATACACCAGTCCCGCGCTTTCCCACCAAAGCTAACTGTCTTTACACAGCTACGAAAAAGCAAGAGAAAACGAGAATTATAAAACTACAAACAATATATACTTTCGCAACAGACTTATAAAAATAAAATAAAATAAAAATATTCTTCATTTTCCTTACACATTTCATACGGCCATAAAAGGGCGAGTTTTGGTGTGGAAATAGGGGATTGACGCAAAAGACAGAGAGGTGATTTGTATACTTACCAACCTGGTTGTAACCCCCTCCGACTTCCCTAAAAAGTTCCATTTAAAAAGGAACATTAAAAACCTGACGATGACTCAACATCGACAAAGCAAAATATAAAACAAGTCAATAAATATATTTCAGAAGAGGTTCTGAAAGAGCATATCACAGAAAATATAAATCGTAAAGACAAACAGTATTATCCAATAATAGATACTAGTAGATTACAACATTATGAATCAGACCCTATATTCGGGACGGGGTCAAGTATTGACACCTAAGATTGAGCTACTCAAGAAATACATGTATTGCTTTCCTTGCGCCGCCAGTCCAACCCTAGACATCGCTCTTATTACAAAGGGAACTACGGATACGCATCCTCCGGATATACAACAACTGAACCGCCCTGACGGTAGCCTAGTCATATACTTCTCCGTAGCCAAAAGCGTGTATGTTGCAACCCGTTTGGATAAAGACGTAACAATATACAATATAACGCCATTAGTGCGCGCTTAGAAGGTATCTTATATGCTGACGTTAATGCCAAGAGCAGCGGCGATACCGAAGTGAGGCTCGCACTTGCAAGCAGTGTTGGGATCCTTCCATGCGTCATTTGAGTAACTGAACATGACAGCCTGGTCACCGCACTCCTTGACGATGCTCTTGATGGCCTCGGCTTGCTGGGACACGCCCGGAACGGCAAGACCCATAGCCTCACCAGCTGAGGGCCAACCGGTCTCAAGAATGATACCGGAGATGCCCTGGCAGATGTTGTTGACGATATCGAGCTGGCCCTTGACAAACTGACCAGCCTGAGAGGCAACGGTCTGAGTGTTGAAGAAAGCGTGAGCATTGGCACCAGCAACATCAACGACGCCGCAGATAGCAGAAGAGAAGTCACTCTGTTGCCAGATGTTGACAGTCTCAGCAGTAGTGTACTTGCCGGTGTAGCCGCTGAACTCGCCCTTGCACTTGGTGATAAGGGCAGAGAGCTCGGAAGGCTGGCAGTAGCCGTGGAAGACAGCCTCGTTACCAACCGAGATAAGGTCAACAAGATCCCACTTGGCCCAGCTCTTGATGGCGCTAATCTGCTCAGAAACACTGGGGTTGTGGGCAGAACAGCCAGGAGAGTCGATGAAGATACCGAGGATCATCTTCAGGCCGTGCTTAGCGCAAGAGCCACCAACGTTGGGGAGGGTATCGCAGTCAGTGGAGTAGACACGGACAGACTTAATACCGGCAGCGGCAATAGCAGCAATGTCCTGCTCAACCTGGCTGGCACTCTTGCATCCACCCTGCTCGCTAGTCTCGTAGGGAGTGTACGAGATACCCCATGGCTGACCAGGCGGTCCACCGAGGGTACCGCTGGGCTTAGGCTTAGAGGGAGTAGAAGAAGACGGAGAAGAAGGTATGTACGAGCTGGGCTGAGGAACCACGGGAACAGGAACGGAAACGGAAATAGAGACCTCAGGAATAGCAGGAATGGTGGGGACACTGGGGACGCTTGGAACGCTGGTGATGCTAGGGACGACAACAGGAGCCGTGGTCGGAACCTGGACAAGAGTGGTTGAGGCGCTAGGAGTAGGAATGTCGAACGGGCAGTAGACAACGGTGTTGGTCTCAGTGACAGTGGTGATAACCTCAGGCTGAGTGTACGTTCCAGGGGGGTAGTTGGTGACGGAAGGAACGGTCACAGTGGCGGGCTTGTCGACCGTGGTCGTAATGGGAGCAATGGTGTAGGTACCAGCAGACGGGCAGACGTAGGTCGTGGTCTTAATGACACTGGTAGTAACACCTTCGCTGGTGGTGACCGTGGCGTACGGGCAGGTAACGGTAGTTGCGGTCGTGACGACGGTGGTAACACCACCTAAGGTGTGAGTACCAACGGGGACAGAGGTCGTGGAAGGAACGCAAACCGTAGTCGGCTCGGTCAGAGTGACGGTGGTAGCGGGGAAAGTGTAGACACCCGTGGTCGAGCAAGTCTGGGGAATTGGCGTCGGGACGAGCACGGCAGTCGAGGTAGTCGTAGCTGGCGGCGGCGGCGGCGGCGGGGCGGAGATGGACGAGGGTGTAGCCACAGGTGTAGCAGTAGTCGCTGGGGGGACCGGAGGGAACGAGACTAGCATCTATGATTAGAAACCTATTCTGATAGTCGCGAAAGGATCCATAACATACGAGTAGCTTCACCATAGTAGGTGCTGTAGATGGTAGTACATCCGCAGGTGGCATTGTCAGCCTTCTTCTCGAGGGCGTGGAACGCATCGTGGGCGCGAGCGTGTCCGCGGTGAACGCTGACGGCGTTGACACCGGTCAGGGCCGCAGCAGCGGCGACCGCGAAAGTTGCCTTCATTATTACTTGTTGAAATTCCTTCGAACTAAACTCCAATTGACCGTAGACGGTTGCGCGAATTTAACTGTAGAGCTGTTTGTTTATTTTCGTGATATCGTGAAAACGAGTGCCCGCTAAAAGAGTGAAGCGGTGGGTTGGATACGCAGAAAACAAGGACGAAAGCTGGAGAGATGCTTTCACGTCACTGCATCGACATCAACAGGGTCGTTTCGTGAGGAAAGGAAAAGAGGAAAGGAGGGTATCATGGGAACGGCAGATCTCTTGTACTTTTATTAGGGCACCATTGCGTCCCAGCGCGGCCCAGCCAGCCAGCGCCAATTTTACCTGATGGTTGTTTTTGGCAATGGGGCAAATGGGGTGGCAGCGTTGGTCCCCGCTAATCCTGGGTCCCCTTGCTCTCCCTCTGCATCTTGCAATGGTTCCTGTGATGGATGGATCCCTACCAGGGTCGCCTGCTCAAGCGTGGCCTAGTTTCTACTCGATTTGCACAGACAAACTACCTACCTGGCAGCTCGCGGAATCCTCCACGGACGAATAGCCAGCCAGAGTGTCTTGACCCTCAGTGCATAAAAGTAGGTCCATAGTGGTCAAAGTCCGAAATTTTGAATAAAAAAGTAACATCCATCTTGGACCCAAGATGAGCTGTGCAAAACTGACCACTGGACTGGGTTCGAGGAAGATTCGTCGAAAAAAAGGTGAAGAAAGGGGGTTAGAATAGGTTGTGGAATGGGTTATGAGCTTACCCCAATTAGGAGAATATCCATAGAGCCTTTTGCTTCTGGCCAATCAAATACGGCCCTGGCCTGTAAAATCGACTCTTCCTTGGAAGGCAACCCTTTCTTTCCAGTGGGGACTTGCGGTCTTTCCTTTGTCGCCTTGGGAAATTACCCGACCATCAAGCGAAATTACGCATCGGCCCTGACTAAACCTATTCTGTCCTAATGCTGGTCTAGAGCTGCAGCGTACCTGCAGGACTAGGCTTATCTCGGCTTACATGCTATGTATATCGGAAAAGTACCCTCGTATGCATTTATTATATTTATTATATTTATTATTAGGGCTCATTGGGGCTTCAAGCGCATTAGCAACTAAGACAGACATGGAGAATTGGCCAAATATGAGATGGCACTCCTTTTTTTTTTTTTTTTTTTCTCTTTCGTTCGGGAGTTCATCACCGCTTGATTGGCTCATACATATTCTCCCCTACTTTAGCTAGGTACTTTTAATTCCATTTCGATAACCCACGTCATTACGATCCGAAGGATTATTAACAGTTGGTACTAGTTTATCCTCCTTCCTGCTTCCTGCTGCGTAGTAGAGAGCTAGGTTGAGCTGAGTAGCGGATGGCTTGCATATGTATTACTTAACAGCCGTCATGATCTTAGATGCCTAGGTTAGCAAGTTTACTCTTGTTGATCGTTGATCAGATCGTCCTTCCTGTTCGGCACCCACCCTTCCCCTACGCCGAACGGCCAGACCCTCTAGATACTAAAAAACAAGCTAGCTTCCCCAGGATTCTGACTGATAGCATATCTACATAGTATGTATGTGACTAATGTAGGATGACATGGACGTGGTAATTATCCACAGGCTAACATAAGCTTTCTAGGCACTTAAAGACTCTAGCTCCCTTCTCCTATTCTACAAGGCTTTACCAAATCTTTCGTGACGCTTAAGCTTTAAGCCTTGAATGCCCCCTTAATAGAGCGAGTGTTGGCTAGACTGTGGGCCGAACAAGATTAATGCCAGATTAACAGGCTCTTGTAGCCTGAAACCTGGAGTCTAGATAGCCTATTGTCAGGGTCGACATCAAATTTGGGCCTAGGGCGCATACTACGTAGTACTGTACGCACTGGGGACTTTACATAGTAATCATGGGAAAAATGAATTGACCGCTGGCGTTGTACACGTGGTTGGGTGCCGTTATTGGTTATTCGACCTGATAATCTAGACATTGGGTCGTTGGCTGTGTTGTCGGCGTCAGCTATCCAAAGCAGCTAAGTCTAATTTTCCCGACTTGGATCTTACATAGAATAGGTAATAATCTTCGCTGACTTTCCATCCAAGATTGGGATCACGTTAATCCTCCACATCCCCATTATTCAAGCTTTTAAATAGCACGTTATTTCAGGCATATCAAATGTCGGTCCTATTATGTATTTATATTTAGAGCCTCAACACGTTATGTTTGGTACACTATCTTGAGAAGATTGTCATATGTTGCCTTTTTCTATTGACGGACCAATAGTACAGATAGATCTACGACTCAACCCGAACCCATGTCCACACCAAAGAAATATCGTAACGATTCCCTGGGCCAGGAATGTTGTCGAGCGATGATGGATCTTACAACTGATTCCGAGAGTTGATCCAAGTGGTTTTACAGAACATACTCTAGATTATATCTGACACTCTTTCCGTTATGATTGAACTCTATCGCAATATGTGAGAGTCCGGCAGCTAGCACTCGGCAGAGAATGCTTTACAGCAATACTGAGGCGGCAAGTGCTATGGAGACGGCGAACAGGCCAACCTAGGTCAAATGTTAACTACAAGCCAAGAACATAAGAAGACGGACTTACCGAAATGCTGTTCACAGCTCCGGCGCCTGACACAGGGATTTGCCCACCGCCAGTAGCGTTTGGCGTCACCCCGCCGGTACCCATCGGCATCCCAGCCGCCGTCTGTGTCTCATTGGCCGTGGCAGGACTAGACGTGGATGGTTCCGCTGGTGTAGAAGTTGCCCAACTGCTAGCCGCAGTCGTCATCTGCGAGCCGGATATGGCGGTGGAGGAACCAACCGACTGTGAGATCGATGTCATCTCACCCATGGGAGAAGCAGTGCTCAACATGTTCGACGCATGCGACATGTTTTCCATGTCGGACATCTGTGCTAAGGCACTGCTGGCCAACATCAAAATTGCAAAGCGTTTGGCAGCCATGTTCCTATATCCGATGGAAAGTATTCTAAAGGGGGCAATGGTGAAATGAATCAAGTCTCGAGTTGGGAAGAGATAATAGGTGCGAAGACGAGAGATCAAGTAGAAGAAACCTACTCGCGGCACACAAAGGCCCCCGATTGCCTTTGAGAAAATGACATGGTTTACACTTAGAGAACAGGCGGACCTGAAAGACTCCTTTCATATATTATTTGCCGCGGAGATGCACTTGATATATTTGAAAGACGTGAGATAATATCCCGTAAGATTCTTACAAGATTCTTACAATATAGTTATTCGCAAACAGAACTAACATAGTTCAAGTCATGAGCATTACTTATGAGAGCGTAATTAATGAGGTCCTTGACTCATTAGGTACCTCATGTTAGGACGTTCTATTGTTATTATGTTAGCTAATGTTGCTAATGTTGCTTATATTCGTGTTTAAACTCTTTATACATTTTGAAGTTTGATAAGGACAATAGTCAGGTTACCTGAGTAATCTCGGAGTAGTGACGGACCGTTGCCACCTGCTCTTTATGTAAGTACAGCTGGTACCTAGGGACGTGTGATGCGACCCACCCATTCATTCACTATTAAACCTTTCAACAACAAAATTTTGCCACGATGAGAACAAAACAGGACAACGAGAAATTATCTTTATCTTAACTTAACAAAAGTCTTTCTTTTATTCACGGCACGTAGATACAATGCTACGGACGTCGAGTAGATCTTACGTATGCTGGAGATGTACCTTCCAAAGGGTCACATCACCCATAATTTCAAAGTCAGATGCGAAGTTTCTGCCAAGAATTAACCAACCTCTATGGAGACGAGTATGTGATAGCAGACCTTCATGTCCCTCTTAACCGTCCTAATCCTCATATGTTTCTGTAGACTCTAGCTACCGCACATCATTCTAATCTAAGTGGTAATGATCCCCTTGCGCAGTTGCGCGCCTTGGAAGAACAAGACGAAAATGGGAAACACCCAATACCCATCCGAGAACGCTTAAGGAAATGGGAGGAAGAAAACCAAGATGAAGTAAAAACCATCTTGTCTGATTATGCAGATGCAGGCGAGCTGTCCAACAGCTTCACTCGCCCGCAGAATGTGTCCATGGGTACCTTTGATGTGGCCGCGCCGCTATTCGATGGGGATGAGCTTGGCGACCTGCGCTCCGATGATGCTATTCTAAGAGCTGGAGATATGGTTGAGTTGGGGTACGATACCATTTTTATTTATTCTTCGTATCAAGACTAACTGGGATTCTATAGCTCTGAAGGGTCGAGGCGACCTATGTTGGCAATTTGCTTGGGTCGTTACAACGGCTATGATCACTATTACACAAGCAGCGGTAAATGGTTCGTCGGCCTAGGCGTCAAGTCGCTTTTCGTTGTTCAAAGATTCGTCTCGCCGGCTGAGCTCGAACTTGTCCTCAAGGAACTACCGACTGGCGCCATACCGTTAGAAGCTCTAAATGCTCTTCAGGATCTTGGCCACGGTCCTTCTAGGGCTGCAGGAGCTAAGCTGCTGCGTAAGATGTTAAAATTTTCCCATGATGCGGAAGCCGTGTATCAAGAAAACGCCGGTACACTCGACGCGTCTAGCTCCTTCATCGGAGATCCACTGAAGCATCGATATCTGACCCTGCACGAAATCACCGAGTTACTGCTTCCTGAATCTTATAAAAAGGACGGAAAGTTCGAGCCTGTAGCCCTCTACGCTGTTCATAGATCTCTCCTGCAAGATGAAGTTTTCTTCAGGCCTCTCCGGCAGACCGGTCACAAAAGATCGTATCTTTTCGAAATCAGTCCGCTGTCCGAGGTACAAATCATCCAGAAGGTAGAGGGGCTAGTCCGAGATTTCGTAGAAATAGATGTGGGTTTACGAGAAGGTAAATGGGACAGTCTATCTCCAGTGCGCAATTTCATCAAAAAAGCTCGCAAATTAATCGACCAGAGCCGAGAAACTCGACTATGGACAGAAAGCGGTATTATTGGGCCGTCAAAGGTAAAAGAACCGTCGGCAAAAGCGTCGGCACCAGCTACCCATCGGTGGTCCCCGACCGATCTAGAGATATTGCAATTTATGGAGCTATGGTCTAGCTACCAGAAATTTCCAAATTACTCACGGCTTCAATGCTTTGGATCTACTATCTTACGAGCCCTCGACAGGTATCAAGCCGCCGAAGGTTATTCGGTATCAACGGGCTGGACTTTCCTACAAGAA